ATATTGTTCTGAATTATTAAATCATAAAAAATCTCAAATTTTACTGCGGTCAGGTTTTGAATGCTCAACATTCTCATGCCATTTAACTAGAACACACTTTCTATATACAAATGAATATATTAATTTCCATAAAAGTGTTATCTTTTTACAGTATATTTAATTCAGATCCAGTTTCTATTTCCACTAAAATAATTGCTTATAATACACAGACTCGATTTTATATGACTAATTAGAACAGTGTATGGGAAAAATAGGTTTGCAGGTAATGTTGAAATTAAATATGTTAATCTGTACCTCTGTGTGCACATTTTATATGAGCTTTAATTTGCCAAATAAATTATAGTTCTGTGTTTATAAGGTGCCCTTGAAAGAGTGTCCTATTTTTGAGCACTAATACCATGGGGAAACAAATACACAAAGCTTTTAGCTATAGGCCATACTTGCATAAATTAAGACAAGAGCAGTTGGTTGGTAAGTAGAGCTATGGTATCCTCAGCTTTTAAACACTCTGAATTGTTAACATGATTTTTTTAGTATAGTTACTAATATTAAGATAATAAATAATATTTAGTTTCAATATCGTACCCTTCAGCCAGGGCATAAATTCATTTTGAATGCTGTGTTGAATTAATGTATAATAAACATACTGCAGTTTGCTATCAGGAATTCTCAATGAAATGGAGGAAGTCAGTTCTTTGCTTATGCATTAGCACTGCCAGTTTTGCTCTGTTTAATTTTAGCTATTTATAAAATTGCTCTACTGACAGTCCTCGTTATTTTAATGTGATTGTTTTAAGGTTAGCCAGAAATGGTATGGTGTGTTTTTTTGAAGTAGGCTATAGAGCTGCTGTAGGAATATGGGTCCTTAACAAAAATCCCTTTCACATTAGCCACCTGCAATCAAGACACGCAGCTGCCTAATTGGGTGAATTATGGTGTTCTCTGTGGGGCAGGGGCCTGCAAAGTCACTGTGTATACCAGAAACTGTTGAGTGTCTCAGAAGGGAGTTGGATCACAGAGGACTTGTAAAAACAATGTTGTTGATAGAAGTAGAATCTGAAAGCAGTTGCAGCAATTGCCACCTACTTCTGACAAATGGCGACTGTATTTAAAATGTTATTATTGTCTAAATAGGTTGGTTCCTTTTTATGACATTTATTTATATAACTCACAGGACTTTGGCTTAAAAGTGGCTCTGGGTCTTGAAAGCTGGTGGAGGAGTGCAATGAATTCCCCAAAGGCATCCAGGCTTACAACTTAAGGAAGGAGCAAGGAGGCCTTCGGAATGGAAAAACATAGTATTGCCCTGTGTCAGTTGACTCCAGCTGCGTAACAGAGTAACACAGACAGGGTGACTTAAACAATAGAATTTATGTTTTCACAGTTCTAAAGGCTGGAACTTCAAGATTAGGGTGCACGCGTGGTTGGTTTCTGGTGAGAGCTCTCTTTCTGGTTTGCACAGACTGTGGGTGAGCTCTGGTGTCTCTTCTAAGGGCATGAATGCTATTGGGTCAGGGCTCCATGCTTATGACCTCACTTAACCTCAGTTACTTCCATAAAGTCCCTATTTCCAAATACAGTCACATTGGGAGTTAGGGTTTCAGCATATAAATTTTGGGAGGGCATAATTCAGACCATAGAATACTCTAAATTATTTAATATGGCTTTTAATTAGGAGTTCATAATGTTTTGACCCCCTTGGAAGTGTGGTAAAGCCTATGGACTTCCTATCAGAATAAAGTTCTTAAGCGCATAGAGTAAATTGTATAGAGCTTCAGAGGAAGCCAATTATATGGAAAGGTAGCAAAGTATCAAAACATTGTGATCTAGAAATATATGAGTCCATTATTAACACATTCAATAACAGGCTGTAGTAGTTTGTCTAATAACTACTATAATTTTGATGTAGTGATGGGTAAAAGTGTATTTAGAAATATCTGCAGTAACTGTAATACAATTTGAAAATGTCTGTGAGTTTTGTTGGTGACAAAATCACAGGTAACTGCTACTGCTATTGTGATTGGTTCCTTATGTTCATAGTGCAAGGAAATGTAACATTTAAGTCAGGGGTTATGAAAGTGCAGTGTTTTGTTCTTACCCAAATTCAAAGATTTTCTTAGTCCCATGCATGTACCACAAGTTAACCCCTGAATAGGTCGCATTTTAAGATGTTTGCAATTTTAATATTTGTCTTATATTAGCAATGCTATGATCATAAAAATGTCAGCTATTATTATATTTACTAACAAAGAATTATTATTGGTTTTTGTTTTAAAGAATATTTTAAAAAGTGGTGGGTTTCAGCTGGGGCTGATGGGGCTACTAATTGGTATAAGGTTAAAAATGGTAAGATTGTTTCAATAAGTAGCTCCTCTTACAAAGAGATTATTTAAATTCACTTGCCAAATACAAACATACTTCCTTTTTATAATTGACTGATTTAGGAAAGCTATGTATTTTGTGGGCATTACTAAAATTCCCATCAAAGAAAAAACAAATCTGGTTCATTCCATGGGAAATTTATCTCACAGTAGTTTCTGAGCTTGGTCCTTTCAGTAAAGGAAAACATGTAATCAGAAAGCAAAACTATTTTCCTTACTGGAGACAAAAGATTACTTCCCAAATAAGTCAACCTAAAAGGAGGCAGTATCTTCAGGAAGAGTGGTTGGAATGTTGAGAAGATCTATTTGAGTTAAAGCTCTGACGCCTGTGGGGAGTTAAGCTCTGGACAAAGAATTTGGGGTGCCTTTAAAATTTTAAAACAGTCTTTTCTGAAAAGACCTTCATGGTGGCCTTCACACTAAGTATACATGTAGACTTGTCATTCAGAATATGGGTTTTTGAGTCTTTCTGCCTGGCTTTGAGTCCTGTTCCTTCATACACTCACTTTTGTGATCTTGGCCAGGATGCTTAGCCTTCCTATCCCTCAGCTTTTTCATCTGTAAAATAAAACAATAGTACCTACCTCAAGGAGTTATTTATTGTAGAGATGTAGTGACATAATCTATCTGAAATGCATAAAATAGGCCCTAATATATAGTAAGTATTTAATAAATGGTAGCCATTATGATCTTCGTTATTTATTCTTTCTTTAGTGTATGACAAGTGTTTCCTGGAACTTGCTTTTACAGCTTGTCCTGGGTTAATGTCTGCAATTAATACTTGCTAATTGTGATGCCATCTGCTGCCCTGTTCAGGCCTTGATTTGGCTTCAAAGTGAAGTGTCCTTACAAGTCTAATATCGATGTGATCTTGTCCATTTCACAGAGCTCTGCCTAATATCCCCGTTAAGACTCAGCTTTTCACCTTTAGTCTTAAAGGAAGCAGAGATGGGCCATCTATCTTTGTTGAAATTCTGCAATATGCAATTTGAAGTTGGATTGACCTTCAAGCTGACAAAGTAAAATAAACAGTTTTATAAATGAAAATGGCTAATCTGAAATAGATAACAGCTAAGAACTTCATTTTTTATTCATTCTCTTCATACAAGGTTGATATCATACAAGTGAACATGTAATATTGCACTTCATTGTGGGGCTCACCGAAGATGCAGTTAGAGGAAATTGAGGACACAATGAACTGGCAAAAACTGGGGAATATGTCTATAGTCTCTTATTTTGGATAGTTATTATATTTAGATGTAGGTTGACTAATTAAAAAAAATACTTACTAAAATTTTACTGCTGCATTCTTTTTCTTTTGAACTCTTTTGGTTTCCTAGAAATCAACCTCACCTGACAGTTTTAACTATTTTTATATATGGCAGAACATCACATAGTTCAGGAAAACTGCATGAAGAAGCGTAAGATTACTTGTTTTAAACTCATGTCTCTTAAAAAGTACTCTACAGAAATTTCATTTTTTTTTTCAGGAAAGAAAAATCTATCAGTTGAAAGCCCAAATATTTACCAGAGAAAATAGAGTGAAGAAAAAAAATTTGCAGTCATATGGGGAATAAATCATAGGATCTAAACATTTCCTCACACTTGCCTGACAGCTAAGTCTAGTTGCCTTTGCACAGAGGAGAAGTTTTAAGTCTGGTCTAAGGGCCTGTTCCTGTGACTCACTGAGCAGGCTGGGCAACTGACCCTTGTTCTGGTTCCATAGCTCAAGTTCAGGGAAGACTGGACCAAGCTGTGTTAGCTGGGAAAGGCTGAGGGTGATAAATAGTCCCTGTGCTCATGCCTGACTAGACTGTACTGAACTGTGTAGTTGTATTATACAAGGTCTAACACCAAGATTGATGGCCTGTGCATTTCCAGAGCAGCCTCTGTCTTTGTGCAGATCCTTACACACACCACACACACACACACACACACACACACACACACACAGAGCCAAACTTGTAGGAAGGCACCAGAACTTTCTAAAGGTCTGCTGAGACCCTCTTTCATTCATACATTGTCATCTCAATTCTTCATTTTTTGGGTCCAGAAACTAACAACCGCAACTGTCCCCGGAAACATTGTTTATCTCTTTGTACTAATGTTCTTCTGTGTATCTTAGAAAAGTAACTCTTCTTGACTTACCCAAGTGGTGCCCATGTCTAGTCATTATATAAAGCTGAACATATCAACATTTTTAATATGATAGTTTTGTGACTACATATAATACTTGATTAGTAAAAGTTTATTGAATTGAATTATGCATAGTTTAAGGTAAACCATACTCAAATGATGCACATCTAACCTTAGCATTGTTAAAAGTATATTTAACTAAATTAAATTAAAAAAACACATGACAATTGAAAAAATAGGGGGAAATTCTAAAATGATATTTAATATAGAGGCATACTCAGTTCTTGACTTCAATTCATACTAATGTCCCACCTTCTGACGTCCTCTTGGTGTTCTGGGAACACTGGTTCCTGTGATGTGCTGCTTTCCTTTCACTTTTTGTGTTCATGTTCCAAAAGGAAGACAACCAAAATATCATTGATTTAAATCTCTCCAGAGACCCAGTACCATTGATTGTCTCTTTTCTCTGATTCGCCTCTGCAGAAATTCAGTGTCCAGATGTTTCAGAATCCAGATGGCCTATGAATCCTCTATCACCCAGAAAGGAGGAAAATGTGCATGAAAGTGGAACATTGAAAAGAAAAGAAATAATTTAGCATTGGTGAGGTAATGGCAACACACAGGGCTCAAAGAAAATCTTCTGTTCTGAAAGAAGCAACTTAATAAAATGCATGTTATAGGCTCTACCAGCAAGCTAAATTTTCAGCCTTGCCTCTTCTTTCTATCACCATTAAGAGGCTTGCAGAGATCCACACTGTTTAAAGGGCAGACAGCATGGAAGAACTATCATGTACAATTTAAAGTAGCAGCTAAAATTGGAATGGTCACAAGAAAGCCTGTTTCTTTGCAATTAAATTGACAAGCTGTCTATGATTACCCTAGGGAACTTGGCAGCTGAGTGATAAAAAGACTGCAGAGTGTTGAAAGGTCTAACGCAACTTACTAGGTGGACAAAGACCACATCTGCTTAATATACTGATTGGGAGAGTTGTGGAATGTACTTGGCTAAATTAGCCGAGGAGGGATACTAATGATACCTTTTCCTCTCTAAGACTCTCCCTGCTCAGAATCCATTTTAGAAATTACCCACAACTATTTGGAAGCATGAATTGAAAAATAGTTTAGTACAATATCTGATGTTATTTAGTACTAACCTACCATTACAAATAATCAGAAGAATTGAGCAGAAGTTTAGCTGTAAATATTAATAAAACACTTCCATCAATGTTTATGAAATTTATATATACTTCATATGGAAACTAGTTTCCCAAAAGAAGGTTCATAGTGATCTCAACAACTGAAGAGTTCAAAGACTATGGATGATTTAATGCAAAGTATTGTTATGTGAGAATTACATGGTATTTTCATCCTTGGGTATCCCCTGAGTTGAGTAAAGCAGAAACTTAGGTTACAAAGGATATAAAATAATAAAAACAATAAAAAAAGAAGGATATAAGAAAAAAAAGCAGATTTTGGGTGGCAGAAATTTGTGAAGACTAACACACCCATTTCAGCAATGTCTTCTTAATTTTAGTGCATAACTTAAAAGAGCAAATGCATACAAAAATGTGAAGGTTTCTTCTGATATGTTTCATGGGTATTCGTAACACTCTACACTAACTAAATAAGTGATGGCTGTGCTTACTTGCCTGTATATTCTTTCTGAAGGCTGAGGACTGTTTATTTCAGCAAGCCTGGAAATTGATTTGTTACTATTTCCAAAGTAGGATTACCCTAAGCAGGATTTCTCAAACAGAAATGCATTATATATTACCTTGGGATTCACTTCAAAAAATGGAGATTGTCCAATTAGTTGGCCAATGTTTGCTGGTCTTTGAGACCATGTAGTAGTTCAACAAAATTATTCAAAGCTCAAAGTCACTCAAATGCTCAATGACTTCAACATTGGACAAAAATTCTCAACATCACTAATCATCAGGGAAATGCAAATCAAAACCACAATGAGCTATTACCTCACTGCTGTTAGAAAGGCTATTTTAAAAAAGACATGAAATAACAAGTGTTGGAGAGGATGTGGAGAAACAAAAACCCTCATGCCCTGTTGGTGGGAATATAAATTGGTGCAGCCACTGTGGAAAAAAGTATAGAGGTTCCTCAACAAATTAAATATAGACCTACTTGGTGACCCAGCTATTCCACTTCTGGGTATTTATCTGAAGAAAATGAAAACACTAGTTTGAAAAGATATATGCACCCCAATGTTCATTGCAACATTATTCACAATAGACAAGATACGCAAACAACCTGTGTCCATTGATAGATGAATGGATAAAGAAGAAGTGATTTATTTATACAACTGAATACTACTCAGCCATAAAAATGAATGAAATCTTGGCATTTGTGGTAACATAGATGGAGCCCAAAGGCATTACACTAAGCAAAATAGGTCAGAGCAAGACAAATACTGTATGATTTCACTCTTATATGGAATCTTAAAAAAAAAAAACCACACAAACGAACAAACAAAATAGAACAAAAACAAACTCATAGATAAAGAGAATATTCTAGTGGTTGCCAGAGGGCAAGGGTGGGCGAAATGGGTAAAGGGTGTCTGTATGGTGATGAATGGTAACTAGACTTGTGGTGATGCCACTTTATAGTATATAAAGTTGTCAAATTATAAAGTGTACACTTGAAGCTTATATAAAAAAAATGGGAAAAAAAGCTGTGTCACTTTTGATCTGGTAAGAAACCCTAGAGGAAATGTCAACACAGGGGAATCCACTCACGAAATTGAATACAGTTCAAATACTACATTCAAAAATAATTTATTATGACATATATCTCCATTTTTTGACATATGGAAAGTTGTTACAAATGGTATGTATCATTTGATTGTATTTTATAAAAGGTTTGTGTGTATTAAACAATTCCTCAATAGTACAAATGGAAGAATTAAACAATAATACCTTGTATTAGTTTTAGCACATTACATTTTACAGTGATTGTACTTCCAAAGTCACCTTTTTGTCTTCCCCATAACATTTTCTTGCCCCCTCTTTTAAAGCCAGAGAAAGGGAAGCCCAGGGAAGTTAAGTGAGTGGCTTTCCTAAGGTCAATAGAAATTGGCAGAACTGAGTCTCTTTGCACTACAATCAAAGGGAGATTGAGAGCAGAGTCTGCCGTGGAACATAGTATGGGATGTTTAAAAACAATCCTTCATTTGCAAAAACCAAGTCAACATATTTGTCTAAATTGAACATTCAAACTCCCTTTTGGGATAATGGGATGAGATGATACATGTCTGCTGATGCCTTCAGCCAGGCTCCAAAGAATCTGAATCTAATTATTGAGGAAAAAAATACTCATCCTCTTCCGTCCCATCATGTTGAAGGTTATATACACTTATGTATGCATTATTTGCTTTTTCTAAAAAGATGTGCATTTGGTAAGAGGATTGCTATATGACATTACTGTTTTCAAATGTCCCCACTGCTACCAGCTAGTACAAAGCCTCATATAAAAGGGTGGAGTAAATGCTTTTAGATGCTAATTGTAATTTCAAATAGATAGCAACCAAATCTTGTACCAAAACAATAGTTTTAGATCCATTGAATTCTTGATTATCCATGGAAATAGGGACAAGGAATAGCAAAATCGAAATAGGAACATCAAAATCCACAAACACAAACCTCATTTTACAAATAGCTTCAATCTTCTCTCTCAACAAACCTTTAACAATGGCTAATAACATAATTAAGTTGGCTAGTTTGAGGTTTGTCATTTTTCTACCTCCTGCTCTGGTTGAGGTCCTGCTGAGTGGAATATGGGTTTACAAAAAATAGGGTACCCAGATTAATAAAATCACAAATTGATTGGAGTACAACACCCCTTTGTTTTATTTTGACAACTGTGATATGTGATTGTGTGTACTTAGTAAATGCTATTTAATGTGGGGGATATGCACCGATAAAACTATGCTGTCCATTCCTCTCTGCCTCGTCTATCACTGGCCCAGATTACAATTCTTGGGGTTGTTTGGATGCCTTCTCACCTGTCCTGTGCGCCTATGCATTATTTAATGTTACCCATGCATTTTATTATAAACTAGCAAATAAACTTCCAGCAGTGAGCATACAAAAGCCTTTAAAAATACAGTGTAGTGTGAGATTAAGATCCAGAATGAAGCAGAGTATAGATCTTTAGTTATGGTAATATTAGGTGTCTTGACAGCCTTCAAAAATGGTCAGGCCACTTGATACGTTTACAAAAATGCTACCTCTTTCTCCAAGGAAAGTGTGCTGAGATGGAGATATGAAAATTATTTGATATCTTTATAACAGCACTACCTTGTATACAAATATAAGACAGTTGTATGTATTAACGTGTAGGGTGATACTTCCAGAATTGGAAACACTAATGAAATCAGCACTGGTTCTCTACAATAACCATTTCTCCTTTTGTGCTTCCCAAGATAACTTGGATTTGTTTGGGATGGGGCTAATGCCCAGTTAAAATTTCTCACCTCCCCAGATTCTCTTACAGCTAAGGCCTTTTCACCTAGTCCTGCCCAGTGCCATATAAGCAGACTGCGGACTGAGGCTCAGGGCAAGGACAAGCTTAGCTGGCACATACCTTTTGCCCTTCCTTCTTTCTCTTGGAATCCAGACACAATGCCTGGAGATAAAGGGGTCATCTTGCGACCATAAGGAAAAACAAAAATACATGCCAAGGATGCTAGAGAGGAAAGACTGAAAAAATCAAGTTTCTGATGGAATTGTAGGATCTAGCCTTGGCCTTCCTCCCTCTAAGTGAAAAACAGATTCTATTTGGATAAGCCAGTTGAGTGGGGTTCCTGGTACAAACAGAAGAAAGCAACGGAGTCTGAATGAACAGCTTGGTTAGACTGTAGTCTCTGAGAGAGTGGCTCCTAGTATTCTCCCTTGGCAGTCGCCCTTGTAATTAATTCTCTTCACACTCCCTAAAGCCATACACGTTCCAGACATAGTTTCCTCCACCAGTAGTCGTACATTTGTTGGTCAATCCTTTCAGGCTACAGTGATGTTTATAAAGCCATTCATAAAGTCACAGCACTTCCACTGATTCCTAATTGCCTGATAATTTTTATATTTGGTTTCTTAGACCAATTTCTTAATGGCATCTCAAGTCACCATAAAGCTTATAATTTAATATCCAGAGTGAAACAGGTATATATTTAGGTGAACACATACACATATTTAAAATAGGTCTCACATATACAGCACTCTAACAAATCAATGTCACACAGGTCAGGACTGAATGAGGTGCTCCTGGGATGTTTTTTAAAACTTAAGCTCTATGAAAACACCCATTATATGGGATGATTTAAATTTAAATCTGTGATTGCCAATAGCATACTAGAACTGTGGATCAGTGAGCCTTTCTGAAAGCTGTTGGAGATGGGGAATTACAAGATGATGTCTATGGTTGGATGAAGACCATCATGAAGTTAAGAAGAAGGTCATGAATCAAGCTAGCACACCACCTTCCCCTATTTTTTTCCCATCTTTTTATGAAAACACTCCAGAATTTTGAGACTGGGCTAAGTGCTTATAGCTCTTCCTATGTTACATAAACATTATCTGTATGCATGTAGGTATCTGGCAGATGGCTGTCAGCTCCTGGAGGGCTGGGCCCATAGTTATTTCCCTGTTTCCTCAGTGCGTGTCATTGCTGGGTGCTCAGCACATTCTGATTGAGTTGAATACAATGAGAGAGGAACAGAGAGGGAGGAAGGAATTTAGAATAGCAGGCTTTTCCTTTTAGCTCTATGGCTTCCCAGCTAGAGAGAAGGGTAAAGCGAATAGAAAGAGGGCAGGCGCAGGGGTTTTG